GGGGGCTAGTCTGAAATCAGGGTTAGGCACAGGGTTGAGGAGAATTTTGTTTAACAGTTCCTGGTTAACAATCCAGATAAGCACCTCAAAATTCAAGTCTCAGTTTAAGATATTATTATTGGAGGGTCCCAGACAGCATTCAGACTTCCTGGACAATTCTCAAGGAGTCTTTGTGTTGGGACTTCCAGTGCAGTTAGAAACCTCAGACTATTCAGAGACTGGGCTGGAATGTTATAGACAGGAAACATTCAGTGCAAGTACAGAGTTAATGTCAAAAGTCCCATTGTGAGTAAAAGTTGACTTGGGTGAGGCAGAGGCACCATTGGGCATCCAATGAATTATCCAAGTTCAGAAATGAGTGTGACAGTTGAGCAAAGACTGGAAATTATTCAAATGGCAAGGTTTAAGAGAACGTATGAATGAAAGTTCCTCTGTGGGAATGGAGATCCAGGAGATGTGCAGAATGTTTGAAGCCAGAAGAGGACTGCAGCTAAACTTGGTGTCAACTCAATTCTAAGAAGTTTGTATCTGGTTTCAGTTTGTAGCTGAACCTTCGAACCAGCGGACCAGTCACAGGGCCAGCAGTGAATTGCCATGAAGGAGGGGTTGTCAGCTGATCAAATTTACTTTAAAATGTAAGGTCAGAGGTCACACCATGTTATAGTCCAACAGGTTTATTTCAAATTACAAACTTTCAGAGTGCTGCCCCTTTTGTCAGGTGAAGTGAAGAGAAGCATACAGGCACAGAATTTACAGGCAGAGAGATCAAAAAACTGGTGTGAGTGGAGCGTCGACGGGCAGAATAACAAGTCTCTGTAGGTGATCAAAAGTGTCAGACAGTGTGAGTAAAGTGACAACAGCTGAATAGCAAGTGAAGGGAAAACCTATAATCCGATTAATCAGGGCAGAGAGATAATTACAAAATATTAAAAATAAGGTGGTGTTGGAGACAAACCAAATGGCTGGAATAACATGATAAGTATAAGAGTTGCATGCCAAGGGTCTAACCTAATTAACAACAAGTACCTATTAATTAAGGTGGAGAGATCATTACAAGTTATCAAGTGATGATATCAAATCAGGGCAGTAGGGAAGGTTTTGCAAATACAGAACAGTATGGTGGGGTTACATATAGCGCGACATGAACCCATGGTCACGGTTGAGGCCATCTTCATGGGTACGGAACTCGGCTATCAGTTTCTGCTCGGTGATTCAGCATTGTTGTGTATCTCAAAGACCGCCTTGGAGGACACTTACCCGAAGAGAGGTGGCTGAATGTCCTTGACTGCTGAAGTGCTCCCCCATTGGGAGGGAACTTTCCCAACAATCTGGTGATTGTTGCGCGGTGTCCATACATCTGTTGTCATAGCGTCTGCATGGTCTCGCCAATACACCGTGCCTCAGGGCACCCTTGCCTGCAGCGTATGAGGTAGACAACATTGGCCGAGTCACATGAGTATCTGCCGTGTACGTGGTGGGTGTGATGGTCGTTTCCATGTCGATGATCTGGCATGTCTTGCAAAACTTGCCGTGGCAGGGTTGTGTGGGGTTAGGTGGGGCAGAGGTGCATTAGTGCACCACTTTAACATGTAAGCAGCAGAGCAGTAGATCAGGGACACATGAACTAAGCTTTATAAAATACAGTCCAAGAACATAGTTTTAATATCAAGAGAAGCCCAGAAGTTTGGAAGCTAAATTTGAAAAGGACACAGCCCTCACTAAGGAAAGCAAGAAGTTGGCGTGCTTGGGGGATGGGCCCTGCTGTTTTATCAAGCAGTTAACCTGCATATATTATAAGATGAAAGGGCACAGATCCCTTAGATGTATTCAGTAGTGTAGTTGCAGGATTGTTGTAAATATGCCAGAGCTTCCCTTTTAGTTGCTAACATTTCATAGCTTTCAATAAAGGTGATTACATCAGTGCAATACACAGTTATTATTCTAATTTAGTGCACCCACACTCCATTTCCTATTTTGAAAATTAAATTTTCAAGTGTTTACACACAGGTCCCTAATTTGTGAAGATGTTCTACATTATTATTGCACGTTACTAGCAGCAGAATTTAAATGGATAGATTAGATGTTGTTTATGTACTCATGCATGTACCAGAGCTTGTTTGAGGGCTGAGATGATGCAGGCAGATGATAAGTGAGTGAGTACTTAGCGATCAAGCAAACAGTTCCAATCTGGGCGCCTGACGCTGTGTGCAAAGTGTCCTTACAGCAGCCTCTCAATGTCAGTTGCTGATGGTTGCTGCAGTGCAGATCTGTGCTTCCTAAGTGTACTGTAAGTGAATCGGAGGGGTGCCATGATGATCACGAGGGTTTGGCAAATATTGGATGCCAGTCTCTACACAAGAGGGGTGTATGTGACTGGTGACCATGGAGCATGCCCTGAGATGTTGTTTCACCATGAACAACATAGAGGCTGCTCCCATCCAGAGATGAGCTGGAGTTTCCAAGTACCTGCTCTGACTTTCCTGTTGAGAACTCCTAATCTCTAACTTGTCAGCGCATTTGGTAAATCAGGCAGCTGTATATTAATGAGGTAAGTTGTGGCATAACCAATGTGTTTAACAAGCTGAAATCCCCCTTAATTGGTAACTTGCTGTTGCCTAGCAAGAAACTCACCTTGACACTTGGCAGATGCATAAAAAGATGTGAATTGCTCCCCTCATCGAGATAGTCTGGTGTAATTCTACTACAAATCTCACTGTGACCCACATCTTTCAGGTCCCTGTGAGATTCTGCCTATTAATTTTTAAGTTGATGCTGAGGTTGAAAGTTGTCCCTTTAGATTAAATTGATACTCTGGGATGGAAGAGATTTGTTTTTGAAGCTCTATACAAATGCATATTTATTCATGCTCTTTACTCTTTTTATCCTTTCTTCATCTGACAGAGAAATTGTCTAACAAAGTCTCTTCTCTGTTATGAAGTGTATGTAGTATTTAAACTGGCTACATTTTATTTATGCTATTTCAAATCCGGAATTATAAATTTGCAGAATGTTAGTTTGTGGAATGCCTTGTGGTAATGCACAGCCATCAACAATTTCTTTCAAGCCTTTGTTTGTTTTGTCCACCAGAATAATTGTATAAGTTTGATGTTTTTGCCTCTTTGCACCCCTTTTACACATCTGCTGTCTATAAATATACAGCAATACTCTGAGTAGACACCATACACAGGCACACTAACATAAAGGTCGAGTGCTGACACAGATTCACTTGTAGATCCAATTACAGCATCCTCTCCTCAAAGGTTAATTAAACCAAGAGCATTAATTAGCTATGAGTAGAAGGATTACAAGGTTATACAACCACCCCAATCTCTACTCATTACCATGTCTGAATCTGGTGTTAAATTCACATAAAATTATTTTTTAAATTTTCTTCTTACACGAAAATTGAGAGCACCAACATGACACTACCCGCATGCAATTTTTCCCCAACAGTTGAAAAAGCTGACAGAGACAAAGTCAGTAAAAGCTTTTTGTTCTGCAGCACTGCCTGTGAAGGTCACAGTAAATAAAATCATAACTTGTTATGCAGGTCCACACAGCTTACTCACTGAATAATCTCCCCACCTGTGTCAAAGACAAGGGAAAAAATAGTTGCAAATTCTTTCAAGAATAGTGTCTTTTTTTGACTTTTTGCAAGCTAGTTTCAGACAGTGTGTCATCTGCATTTTGCCAAACCTCGCTGTGATACAGGCAGGTGGACAGTCCATCAAGCTCAACATTACTTTTCCAGATGGCTTAAAGCCTTCAATTAAGAAGTACTTAGACAGTCATGACCACTTAGGATGAACAGCATTTCAATTTCACTGCTCTGCTTCATTTGCTTTTGGTCACTGAGGCAATAGTTTGGTTTTAAGTATTGGTAGCTTTATAATTCATTGTGATTCAGCATAGTCAGGAGGTCAGTTGGGAGTCACTTTATAAATGGTGTGTCAAGATTTATGAATGAGTTGAGCTTGTTTACCTGTTTAATCATAGGCAAAAGGAAGAGGGTGACCTTTTTTTAAAAGAACTTACAACACATTCTGGTAAAGAATATTATAAATGACTATCTTTAGAATGGATGTGTCCTTATGTGTCTTGTCTTCAGTTTTATTTTAAGAAGTGGACAGTAACATAACTATGGACATTTTGTTTGTTGTTGTTTATTTGCTGTTTGTCATGGCCATGATCAATATTGTAAAAGGTAAAGTCACCATAGTCTTACCAGACCACAGAGCTGTGCATTTATTAGAGAGAGATGACTGTTGGTGGTTTAACCTGAAGGTCAGTTGAGGGAGAGATTGAGAAGGAGAATCCTTCACGGTAACCTTGGCCAATGTGGGACTCAAGCTGTCGGCATCGCTACTTGACGAATGAGCCACCCAGCTATCGCAGCACCGACCCTAAAAGTACTGTTTAAATGCATTTTAGCAAGTTAGAAACAAAAAGTGAATGAAAACAGAGTACAATAAAAGTATTTTAATTAAAATACGGAGAGAGAAAGAAGGATGGTGATTGTTTAGCTAACATTGCTGATAGAAATTTCTGCCCTAGAATGTCTTGCTAGTGTGGCATTGACTGAACATCAACAATGTAAGTCATTGTGGGCTTCGTGATTCAGTACTTAGCAATGATTCGAAATCACTGCACAGTTTCTTTATTAGGAACTATGCTAAAATAACACACACATTTTACAGAAACCGTTTAACCGGTACACCAAAAATAGTGCACCCATCTCGTATTAATGTCTGAGTGTGCCTGTTATCTGGCAATAAACTAGAAGTGTTGGGAATGATCATTGGGCACAGAAAAGACAGGGTGAAGTGGGAGAGGTCACAGCAGAGTACAAAGATAGTCCTGTTCTTTAAGGCCAGCAACATCTTAATTAGCACACACATCACAAGAGACAGCAAATCTTCCGAAGTGTAAATTTGTGTATGAATAAGAACCGAAGAAGCAGCTATCGTGATGACAACGAATTTTTCTCGTTCACTTTACAGCCTTCCTGGCAAAGATGAATAATAATTGTCTCTGCAAGACACCATGTTATCTAACGCGATACAACAAGGAGCTGTCCATGGTAAAGATTCCTAGCAGGACCTCAGCAAAGTATCTTGAAAAGAAATTTAACAAGACTGAAAAATACATTTCGTAAGTATACGTTCTAATATTATGAACATTTTTGCTGTCTTTAGAAAATAAGGCAGCAATTTCAGATCTCATCCATAGCCTGAAAATGTGACCATGTTTTCATTTATAATCAAGGTCTTTTCTTCATCAAGATGGAGTCTCTTATTTGCCTATAAAAACTCGTGCAATAGATTGCCACAAGACAAACTACATCTCCATCAAAGCTTTCTCTTCTTCATACATATATCACTTTTGCAACTAGTTAATATTCTGTTAATGATCCACCAGTCATTTCATTCTCTTTATTTCCCAGTGTCATCCTGTTCTTTCCTCTGTGCCAGTTGACAACATTCCCATTTTATCAAGCTCATAATTAGACAACTGTTTGCTCAGTTGGCTGGACATCTAGTGAGTGTTGCCAACAGTCTGAGTTTAATTATTGAATTGGTTAGTGTTGCCATGAAGGGCTTTCCTTCCCAACCTCACCCCCGTATCTGAGGTGTGGTGACCTCTAGGTTAAACCACCAACAGTTGTCTGTGTCCAGTGAAAGAGCAGGACTGTAATCAAACAATGAAGTAAATGCAATCAGATGCCCATCCAGACCACTTTACTTTCTAACATGTTTGGTGCCTTCTCTTTTTTCAATCTTTATCTTGCTTTAGAATGCCATACCCTGTTAGCCTTCTCTACATTATGAAATAATCGTAAAACAAAGATTACAAGATTTTCTTTTTCTCAGAGAAGTCATTAGAGTGCAAAGCTCTCTTCCTCAAAAGTTAGCGATGGCTGGGTCATCATATTTAGTCAAAGCTGAGTTAGTTAGATTTGTGATAAACAAGGGAGCCAAAGGTTTTGGGGTGCAGACAAGAAAGTGGAATTGAGACCGAAACCAGATCAGTGATGATCTTATTAAATGGTGGATCAAGTTCAAAGAGACAATGCTCCCTCATTCTCCTAAGTCCTTTTTCCTGTGTTTCTGTGTTAATGCCCAGCCAGGAAATGGGCCAAATTCACAGTGAAGGAAGGCACTTATTTACATTCCTGCTTCTCTATTTTGCCAACTTGTATATTATTAGCCTTCTTCTGTTACCTGATTTCACCACTACATTTGAAATAGCTTTATTTGGTTTCATAGAGCACTTTTAGAACAAAAAACACTCACAGATACATCACAAAGAAAAGAAATATACTCAATTTAGATTTGTACTTTTATTCATCCCTGTTTAAATCTTGATGTTCAACTAAATTAAACTCCTTTGCATTTTACTTTTTTTTGTCTAATAGGTAGTTATTTTGAGTTAAGCTCTGGTCCTCTCCTGTTTCTATAAATTATTCAACTAGAAGCCAAGTGAATTTTATTCTGTGTTTACTTTATTTCTAGTTGTTACAGATTAATTGTACCAGGAGCTAAAATTATTCAAAATTTTTCAATTAGGTCAGACAGTTCATCAGGTGTTCAAATCAACCATTTATTTCTAGCGCACTCATACATTTCAGGCATTTCACCATTTTGCTGTCAATTACTACAATTTATTATCCTACGGAATTCTGTGGATGCTGAAATGAAAAAGAATCAGAGAATAAAGGTGGCAGGACTTGAGGGATTCCTGCAAAGTACAAAGCAGTCAATCAAATTGAGAGACTTACACTGACACATTTTGGACCAAGTACCAACAAAATAGATTGACATCCCAGTGTTGCATGTGATGGAAACACTATGAAAATGGATAGTAACCTCTTTGTGTTGGTACTTTGTGTTGAATTTTGGCAGCTCTTTGACTTATTTTTAGTACACAGACATTTTTGTCTCTCCACCTCTCTCAATTTCTGTCTGTCACAAGAGGTTCTCCTAGGTTTTGTTAAAGCAATTGCTTTAAGTCAGTCTGCAATTTGTTCTTTCAAGGACAGGTCAGCAGTGGCACCGGGAGTAGTAGATAGACAGCTTTTCATTTACATCAACAAAAACAACAACAGCTTATATTTATGTAACACCTTGGTGTAATTGAACATCCAAGGCACCTCGCAGGAGCGTTATAAAAGAAAATTTGTCACCGAGCCTCATGAGGCGATATTAGGTCAGATAGCCAAGTCTTTTTCAAAGCTATAAGTTTCAAGGAATGTCTTAATAGAGAGGTAAAAAAGTGTAGGGTGTGATTCCCAAGCTTGGGGCCTGGGCAATTGAGGGCACAGCTGTCAAAGGTGCAACAATAATAACTGGAATTGAACAAGAGAACAGAATTAGTGGAGGTAGGGAGGGACAAGCAATGTAGGGATTTGAAAACAAGGATAAGAATTTTGAAACTTCACTTGAGCAGGAAGCAATATAGTTCAGCAAACACAGGAGTGATCGAAGAATAGGATTTGCTGGGAATTAAAATATGGTCAACTAGATTTTGAATAATCTCATTTTACATTTTGGAAGACAAGCCAGGAATATGCTGGAATAATCTGAAAGTAACAGTGGCATGGATAAGGGCTTCAGCAGAAAATGAATCAAGACAGGGTGAAGTCAAACAACTTTATGAAGGTGGAAATCGGTTTTCTGGATGGTTACATAAATATGGAGTCAGATATTCATCGGAGGGTCAAATGTGACACTAAAATTGCAAATTGAATGGCTTAATCTCAGATAGATGCCAAGGAGCAGGATGGAGTCAGCAGCTAGGAAATAGAGTTTGGAAAGGAACCAAAAACGAACCAAAAAATTCAGTTTTAGCAATATTTAATTGAAGGAAATTTCTGCCCATCCCAGTATTGGATATTGGATACACAGTTTGATAATTTAGCAACAGTGGAGGAGCCAAAAGGGGAGGTGGTGAAATAGAGCTGGGTGTCTTCAGTGTACACGCGAACATTAATGCTATGACTTCAGGTGATATCACCAGCAGATCAGAAATAGGAAGGAGCCAAGAATAGATGCTTCGTTCAAAACATAAATCAGCATTTTCTCAAGGAATCAAAAGTTCCACATGATGTTCTGTCTAATTTCTGTTTGCTATGAGCAGCTAGCTTGTTGACCTAGGCGGTCCTTTTAAGATTGAGATGTGACACAGTGCTGATTGTTGGGCTAAGTTTACAGGAAATAATGGTTACATGTACAAAATAAGAACGTAAATCCATTTGATATTTAGTGCAGTAAATCTAAGGAACACAAGCACATTACAGTTACATGTTTCAGTTTCAAACCCAACTTTAAATATTTATGTTCTTCTTTCCCATTTTTGTACATATTTCCATGTTAGAATAAGAAATACAATAATACGTATCACTCAGATCACTTCTAACGTATTAACCATTTATCTCCAACCCAGGATATGAGGTGGGCAGGTTATCCCATTCATTTAGGTTCTGATTTTCACACCTACAATTAGGGAAATAATCATAAATGATTAAATTAATTTTAATACTTCTTTTCAGTCATGCACTTATACAACAGCATTTGGCGTATGCAAAGAGGTTCTACTGAGGTACATATTTTTAAAATTTTGACTACAATTCAAATCTTCCTTCCAGAATTGACTAGTGATATAGTCGGAGATAAATTAACCTTTTTCTTCTGCAGTTGTTAATTTGCTTCCTGCTGATTCCTTTTGGTTCCTACAAAAACACATTTATAAAATGCATTCTTTCACCATTTAGAATGGATTGAAATGCATAAACAATGCCAGAATTTCAAAGTACAGTGTTTTAATTGCCATGACAGCTCCAATGCATGGATGTGCAACTCCAATCAAGCCTGCAGACACTGTGCAAGCCGATTGTCCGTTGGGAGTTTGCACTAGAAAGCGTTTCTGCTTACGATGGCCTCAGGTCACAGTGAATACTGTAGGCAGTGCTCCAATTTTGAAGTACTTATGTTGTCAAGCTCTGAAGACGAGAGAAATGACTTTGTCTCTGTGTAAGAGTAAGGTCACCATGTCTTATCTGACCATGGCATTGCTCTCTCATTACAGAGAGATATCTGGTAGTGGTTTAACCTGAGGGTCACTACACCTCAGGCAAAGGGCAAGGTTGAGAAGAAGAGTCCTTTGTAGTAACCTCAACCCAGTGCAGAAATTGAACCCATGCTGTTGCCATCACAATGCATTATAAACCAGCTGTCCAACTAACTGACCCCTGAGCATCTTGTGTACTTGGGTGCTGTGGCTTGCTATAATCATGTAAAATCTAAGTTCATCTTAGGTAACATGATGACTATCGGCAGAAACCATTTTTACACGTCACATGAAACAGGCGCCATGTCTATAATTAAATACGTTTCATGATGAGATAAACCTCCCCCTAACATAGCTGTCTTTAGAGCTTCATCAGCTCTATCTTTGATTTAAATGAATTTTAGCCCAGTGAGCCATCCAGTCTGTGGCATGACACACTCAAGTCTGTCATCCCAAGTCTAGATTGCATTGGACCAACATCTCAGATGAAACCAGAGATCATCCCAACCACTGCTGACTCAGTCCTTTCAGAGATAAGAAGAGTACTATGTGGGAGGCAACAGAATGGTGTGCCAACGAGGAACAATACTAAAAGTAGCCAAATGACTAGAAGTTGGGATAAATCCAGTTTTCTTCATGTACTAAAATATAAATATGCAGTTTCTTGGAGACAAGCTTCACATGGATTTTGCAAAAATCTTTGATTACTGAGGAATCAAGCAAAAGAAATAAGCTTAATTATTTTAATAAGCACTACTGCTCGCAAGTAACTTTGAAATGTGTAGTGGTAAAATCTGAAATAGTAGAAGGATAGAAATCCTACTCCCAAATTTTGTTTGGCTCAATTTATAACTAAAGTATCAAAACATCCCAGTTTGACCATTCAATGAACTGTTGGAAGAGGTAGCTAGCTTAGTGGATAGAAATGTTATAATACTCACTTCAATATTAATGTTACAAATCAAATAATTTACAAAAGAAAATGCATGGATGGAAATATCCTCAAGACACAGTTGATCAGGGTGGGGAATTTATTTTGTCTGCTATCTGAGGTTAAATTCTAACTGACTGATTTATATCACAAATAGCAAAGAGTATGTTTGCTGTCATAGTAAATATTGCCAAAAAATTATTTATTTTAGGTGTTAATGAGAGTCTGTAATTAACAAATGGCAAACTAATGAATTATACAGTATTCTATTCATACAATACATTCAAATTATGATTCTTGTGTTAGTTTGTTACAATATAAATAAATCTCCCTGATTAGAATGACATTTTATACATAACTGATAATTATGAATTTGCTTCATGATTATCAAGGGTAATGCTTATTAAATCGAATTCCGTTTTTATTACTTGAGATTCCAGGCTTTTCCCAGATTTTGGGAGTTGACAGTTCATGTAAAAATCTGTGATCTTGATAATGATGATGTTGACAGAGCATAAGATTCAGAGTGACTTGATCATTACCATGCAGCAGATGGATAGAACCGGCCACAGAGAGCTTTCCATTGGTCTTTTCAGTCTGCTTATGAGCCATTTTAAATTCTGTTAACTCCCAGCAGCAATTAAAGTAGTTCCAATTGAACTGTAACCTTAGCTAAAAATTAGTCTCCCAGTCGCTTAAAGAAATATGAGTTAATTGTAATTTCAATGTGTCTGAGAAACACAAATATATTTGGTCTGAATGAATGGAATTGTATTACATAGACACTGACAGAGGGCATTTCAGAGTCAGATTCTTTGGACTTGTACACTTGTGCTACACTGGCTAATGTTGGCATTGTGATCTCGTTTGGCACAGTGCCATATCTCAAAGGTGAAGTAAAATATTGGGCCGCAAATAGGAGTAACTTTATTTTCACAAATTAACCTGACAAAAATAAATGAACTCTTACCCGCACACACCTGAATATGCTCCAAGAGGCACATTAACACTCACATTTGTACATTTAAATGCACACTTATGTACTTGCACAAAGTTTTACAAACATTTCATTTGCATTTTTATGGGTTTTTTTGTTGCAGGGAGAATATTTTAGTACTGGATGTATTCTTTGAAGCATTGAACTATGAAACTATTGAACAGAAGAAAGCATATGAAGTAGCAGGCTTACTTGGTGAGTGATTGAATTTAATGAGCTGCATTGAGTGTCCATTAGTGCCTACTGAAAAGGTGCAATTGGCCTTTCTTAGCCAGCAAGAATGATCTTCTATCTCTTTAGCAAGCTATAAATACAATTTCTGAGCAAAATATTGTTCATTTCCTGTGGCATCAGAGCAACTTCTGATGTCCTAATGTTAGAAAGTAACAACAGACCCTACATAATAAGAGAGTGTAAGAATTAAGATGCACAAATAATTTAGCACCATGCCTCAATCTGACTGAAGATCATCATAAATAAATATTGCATGGTAGTGAGTTTCCTCACTGTTGATAATTAATTATATCTTTCAAAGCAGGAGATTCAGGTGGAAGTTGTTACTGTCCAATTTAAGGAAGTGGCCCTAGAAGTAATCGATGCATTGGTGGTCATCTTTCAAGATTCTATAGACGCTGAAATAGTTCCTATGGATTGGACGGTGGCTAATGTAACCCCACTATTTAAAAAAAGAAAGTAGAGCAAAAACAGCAAATTATGGACTGGTTAGCCTGACATCAGAGATGGGGAAAATGCTACGGTCCCTTATAAAATATTTAATAGAAGAGCACTTGGAAAACAGTAGCAAGATCAGACAGGGTCAGGATGGATTTACACGAGGAAATCATGCTTGACAAATCCACTTGATACTTTTGAGGATGTGACTAGTAGAGTTAGTAATGAGGAGCCAGCAAATGTGGTTTACTTGGATGTTCAGAAGGCTTTCAATAAGGTTCCACATAAGAGATTAGCATGTAAGATTTAAGTGCTTGGGATTTGGAGTAATCTATTGACATGGATAGAGAACTGGTCGGTAGACAGGAAACAAAGAGTAGGAATAAATGGGTCTTTTTCTGAGTGTCAGGCAGTGACCAATAGGGTATCGTGGGGATCAGTGCTTGGACTCCAGCTACTCACAATATATATCAATGATATAGATGAGGGAATAAAATCAAATGCCTCCAAGTTTGCAAATGATACAAAGCTGAGTGAGAGGAAGGAACTGTTTGCAGGATGTAGAGGTGTTTCAGTGTGATTTGGCTAAGTTGAGTAAATGGGCAAATGGATGGCAGATGAAGTATAATGTGAATAAATGTGAGGTTTGTGAATAAATGTGAGGTTTATCCACTTTGGTCGCAAAACCAGAAAAGCATATTAATATCAGAGTGATGATAGACTGGGAAAGAGGGAGTGCAATTACACCTTGTATTCTTATACACCAGTCACTGAAAGTAAGCATGCAGGAAGCAGTGAAGAAGACAAATGATATGTTGGCCTTCACAGCGAGAGGATTCGAGTACGGGGGCTGGAATGTCTTGCTGTAATTGTACAAGGCCTTGGTGAGACCACACATGGAGTATTGTGTGCAGTTTTGTCCCCTTATCTGAGGAAGGGTGTTCTGACTGTGGAGGGAGTGCATCAAAGGTTTAGCAGACTGATTTTGAGGATGGTAGGATTGCCGCCTGGAACTAAAAATAATGAGGGGAGACCTCATAAAAACCCATGAAGTTCTAACAGGACTAGATGGAATAAATGCAGGAAGAATGTTCTCAATGACTAGGGAATCTAGAATCAGGGATACAATTTAAGGGTATGTGGTAAACCAGTTAGGACCAAGATGAGGAGAAATTTCTGCACCAGAGAGTGATAAGCGTGGTTGAGGTTAAGACATTGAGTGTTTTTAAGAAGGAGTTAGCTACAATTCCTAGAGCTAAAAGGATCAAAGGGAATAGGGAGAAAATGGGAATGTGGTGACGAGTTGGATGATCAGCCATGATCATATTGAATGGCACAGCAGGCTCAAAGGGCGAAAAGGTTAACACCTATTTCAATTTTCAATGCTTCTATGTCTCCATTTAAAATGATCCTCTTCTGAACTTCCTCATAAAATTTGAGCCTTCCTAATATCCACCCATTGCTGCTGCTGCATTGACCTAATTTACATGTGTCAAAGGGAAACATGTTGGCATAACAACCACAAGTTTCCTAAGTTTTTGATGCTGGTGTCCTTCAGGTATGTTGTACAGAGATAGATAAGGCGAAGCAAATTGGATAATTCATGTGAATTTGAGGACTTATTCACATAGCAGTGAGTGGGGATTATGAATAGAGATTTCCGTATGTGGCATATCGTTTGAAGCTCTTTTTTTAATCATTCTGCCTACACAACATAACCCGACACCTCACTGCTTCTCCCAGGATGAGACCAGTGCAAGACCTTTAGACCTTTTGATCCATGACCCAGAGACAGGAGCTTCTGGACCATGGATGCCATTTCTTTTGAGCGTACTCTTGAATGCCAACATAATAATGGAGAAAGAGCCCCACATAATGAAGCAAGGAAAATTCAAAAACTATTTATTGCAAGAAACATTACAGCCCATGTTATCACTGAGGTCTTCTGAAAAGCCACTACGTTTTGCTTTCCTCCATTTGCTGTTCAGATGGATGTTAAAGATTTGAGATAACATATAGGAGAGTATGAAATCGCCAGTGTACTATCCAGGATTAATGTCACTGGAATAAACTACCTTATAATTTATCTCATGATTTGTTTCTGAGGTCTTGCTGTCTGCCAGTTGGTTACAGCATTTGTTTTGAGGCATCCTGAAGATGTGAAAAGGCCTGACATAAATATGTGCTTTTTTTTGTGCCTATTGGTCAGAGATTCCATTGAGGTCTCCATTGCATTTCTAAGGGTGTGCAAAATTACCAAAAACAATCTGATCTCAGCTCGTCTGAACCCAAACAGGAAAGCAAAACAAATTGAGTATCTTTTGACAAGCCACAAGTTGTCAGAGATCACACATAAACAAAAACCCAAAGAACTGCAGATGCTGTAAATCAGGAACAAAAACAGAGGTTGCTAGAAAAGCTCAGCAGGTCTGGCAGCATCTGTGAAGAAAAAATCAGAGTTAACTTTTCAGGTCCGGTGACTCTTCCTAAAAATCAGAATTAACAGTTCGGGTCTGGTGACCCTTCCTCAATTCTGAGGAAGTGTCACCAGACCCGAAACGTTAACTCTGGAGTTTTTCTTCACAGATGCTGCTAGACCTGCTGAGTTTTTCCAGCAACCTCTGTTTTTGTTATCACACATAAACAGCTTGGTGCATAAACAGAAATCGCTGGGGAAACTCAACAGGTCTGGCAGCATCTGCGGAGAGAAAACAGGGTTAATGTTCCCGAAGAAGGGTCAGTGAACCCGAAGAATTGACTCTGCTTTATCTCTACAGATGCTGCCAGACCTGCTGAGTTTCTCCAGCAATTTCTGTTTCTGTTTTTTTTATTTATGTAAATTGCTTGGTAGTTTATCTTAAAGTTTGATGTAGTTTGACAGCTCAACATCAATGAAAACTGTTTCTCCCATTATTGTCCCTACAGATTTAAATATTTCACCTGTCTTAAAATATCCCTGTTTATAACTCCATAATTTTTGAAAGCTTTAAGCATGTATTATTAGTAAAGGGCAGAATAAAGGTTGTTTGGCTCAAGAATATGCATTTCATATGCCTCTGAAGTAAATTGTTACAAATTCCTTCCAATATGTGACAATAATTCTCCAACAAATAACACTGTCAATGATTCTGCATTCACAGGATCCTGGGTAATGATTGAAAGAATCAGCTGTTCTCTCTGAGAAAGTTCAAACTGACCTTTAACTTTCTTCATATGAGAAAACAAAGAGCTATCAAGAATCTGCCACTCATTTTGCTGCCATCTCAACCTCTAGATTCAGGTTTTGTTTAAGACAATTCTCTTATTTCCTCCTAGATGCACAGGGAATTGAATTATCCCCTGATATGCAGTGCAGCTGCTTTTAAGGAGTATCTAGACAGACTTTAATGTGGAATTAAATCTGCAAGGTTTCAGCAATGTGTAAAATGGTGATGAGCTCGTGCAGCACAAGGACTTTCATGTACTTTCTTAATGGCAATCCATCCCCCTGATTTAAATAGGTTCAGAAAAAGCTTTCTTAGAGAATTTAGTCTGCAACAGATGCTCCCAGTGGTCCAGAAACCCATTGAAAGTAGCAGCGGTTAAAGGGCTGCAACTAACTGTTAAAAGGAAAGTTGTAGTGGCAATAGATAAATGGAATAATCGATCACAGTGCCACAAACCAGATATATGAGCAATGTTGCTTGTTTCGATTTTGAAGACTCAGATATGCAGAAAATGCACAAAAAATACAAACCTATAAATAAAACAACCAAGAACTGTGGGTGCTGAAAATCTGAAACAAAAACAGAAATTGCTGGAGAAACTCAGCAGGATTGGCAGCTTCTGTGTAGAGAAAGCAGAATCAATATTCTGAGGAAGGGTCACTGGACCCAAAGAATTGACTTAGCTTTCCATCTACAGATGCTGCCAGAGCTGCTGGGTTTCTCAAAAGGAAACACATTATCTAGCAATGAAGATCATCTAATAGTAAACGTATGATTGAGAGCTACATCGATTGTAAATGCCTCGTAAAGGCTTGCAGACACTCTGGCCCTTAACACTTGCCTGGAAGATAAGAAGACATATAATGGCCTCTCAGAAAATGGAATAAGTTTGCCCATCCCTCATTCATTAATCCTGGAAAGTTCACTAAGGATGGTAGAAACCTCAGAGTTGAAGGCACGCTGCCAGTACCATTTCCACTTCACTGTGCTAAAATTACACTGCACACCTTCCTGGGCCACCTCTGCTATTGAGGGAATGGTTTCTCAGTGGGAACAACATTGGCTCCACGTCATTAACAGTGCCGCAAAATCATATCTCAGCAATTTTATAAATGGCAGTTCGTTTGCTCAGATATCTTTAAATTGCTTTTTGGGACAGTGGCCAATTTAGACACAATTCTTTTATTTAATTGTTGAAAACAGACACATGCACTGTGTCTCAATCATGCTGAAGCCATTAGCTGTCAGGTTGTTCACTCATGTGAATAATTACGGACATAATTGTCTCTCGCTCAGAAATCAGCTTATTTGGTTTTACCTCCATTTTACGATGCGCAACAGAGAAACTTTTAAGTGAAATTGAGCTGCAAACTTATTCTTACATGTCTGAGGGTTCTATTCTGAGTTTGGTTAATCTATGATTGCAATCATTGTCCTGTTATTTTATCAAGGAAATCCAATATGTACTTTGTGAAAAGGATTAAATCACATAGATTTTTCAAAAAATAAACAGGAGAGCTGAGATGTCAGAACATATTATCTGGCTATGGGGATTGTCTTCCTAATTTAATTGATTTAGTTAATCTTTCCCACAATAACCTTATTACCCATTAACAACATTATTAACCTTACTATCCATTAATGGCATGTCATCTTGTAAATGATATTCGTATAATTGTTGAAATTACAGCTGAAAATCCTGGTATTACTAATTTTCCTATCATTATTAATATAAACCAAACCAATATTAATCATACATTAATGATGATTTGACTTGTACAATGTGTTCATCATATTTTTTTTCCAAGTTGTGGTTTTAAGTCAATGCTGACCCAGAGTGGACCTTGAAATAAAGCAGGCAATGCAGTTCACAACCTACAAAGGTCTTTCATGACTTCAGGTCATTACTGAAAGCATCAATGTGCCAATGTTCATCTGCATTTTGCACATCATCGCTAGTGGCCAAGAGCATGTTTTATTTCTCTACTGGTTTACTGCTCTTCAGCATCTTTGTTGTGAATAACATCATTTGACAATAAAACTATGTAAACAGACTGCAAGGTTAGAACCATTTCAGCAAGAAGTGAGATAAAAATATTGGATTAAACCCCCCTCCATCCCCCATTCCCCAACCATTAGGCCCAAACCCCTGGGCATATTTAAGGGTGGGTGGGCTTGTAATATAAACTGAATAGCCTGCTTCATGACATCTCCCATACTGGGGAGAATAATAGCTATTTTTAATCGACATGTTCATGTATGTTGTGACGCATGTCTAAGATAGCTGGAACTTGAACCAAGGCCTCCAGGACTAGAGGTAGGGACATTACAACTGTACTGCAAAAACCCTCTCAATTTATTAAAGATATTTGTCTAATCAACCTGTTCAAACACCTCTGGGGTGGGTGGGACTCAAACCTGGCTTGTCTGATCCAGAGGTAAGGACACTGCCAGTGTGCCACAAGAGCCCATCTTATTAGGAGGGGGCGTTAAGGGGAAGGTATCAGGCAGCCTCACCCACCCATAGTCCTATTAATGGCTTTAAGTGACCAATTAATGGCCACTTCAGGGCAAGGAAGGCAGAAACCAGGCAGTAGTTTTCACCTGGCAGGCTTTTGTGAGGCAGCTTGGAAGAGTACATGTTTTAGGGACCTCTGTGCTGATTAACATCAGGCCCAAGATCAAACCAATTTTAAGCCAACCCTGTCCTCTAAAACATGGCCGCTTTCACCGCATCCTCTCCCTCACTGAAGTTTGCCAGAGAGGCCTGTCCGATATGCCTGGACTTACTTGAAGCCGAGGATCAAAGAAACTTCTTCTTGGGGCGATTACTGTAGTCCCAGCAGTGGCCACTACTCAATTCTGACCCTTTGGGGAAGAGAGAGCTGCAGTCAATCAGCAGCTATAAGTGTGGGACCTCCTCCAAGATAGGGACAGGACTCTAACTCTAACCCAATTAAGGCTGCCCCAGCTGATTGATGTGATGCCAATGGACTTTTCAGTCATGGTGGGGCAGTATGGAAGGTAATCTGCCCCCTCCAATAAAATCAAGGTCATTATGTTTAAATAAAACCTTCTGTGTTAAAATAATGTTCTTTTCCTGAAGATGTAGAACACTGGCTAAGGTGCCATTCCCTTCAAGCTATCAGCCCTCCAGAATCTCACTTAATTTTGAATGATTCTGTAGTTGGTAGCCATCTAAATATAGAGAGTACTACAGCTGAATCTAATCCTTGCCTCACCTGGAAAGTGCACTTTTGAACTTTCTGATTGGGTCACTTGGCAGTGGGGATGCTGACTTGTTTTCCTTTCCAGGAGTCTGAAACATATTGTTTCTCTCTTCAGATCAGGGATGGAATGTGGAACATTCCACATCTGAATGGCTCAGTACTAACTGGATGAGGAATTGATCAACTAGGCCAACTAGTATAGGAACTGGTCTTCCCTTTATAATTTTTACTGACAGTGTTTTCTCTTCACAGGTGACATCGGAGGTCAGATGGGACTGTTTATTGGTGCTAGCATTTTAACAATTTTAGAACTCTTTGATTACTTGTATGAGGTAAGATTCTTACAGTATGTTTTGACACAGTTTGTTTAAAGCTAAATCATATCATGCACAGTGGTTGTTCTAAAATTGTTGCTCACATTCCTACTCTGCCTCCAGATATCATCAATTACGTTTGTGCTTTCTATATGATTAAGCAGTTACAAACAATGCATTATTCATGTAGCACAAAGATATCCTCTGTTTTTAAAGTGAAATCAGAAATTTAGGAATAAATAACAAATATGCAATTTTGCTGCAAGCAGGAAGTGGAGGAAATCCACTTTTTAAGTGCTACTTGTAAATAGTTGCAATTATATACTAAGGCGATCTTCAAATGATTAACAAGTTACTATGAGAATTAGCCTAGCCATTACTTGTTATTAATGTATGAATCTTTTGCACTCTGTATATCACCTCACTATGCTTTTTTTAACAGAGCAATTAAAATAAATAAATGCTGATATCTGATAGCCTAATTTCCCAGTAATGCAACGATCGATGGTCAGTATTGTTTGAACGAAAAGAAACCAAGATCCAAAAAGAAAAAAGAATGTTGTCACAATCACTGGGATAGCATGCTGGAAATCAAGCCCCACTATTCACAGATTTGAAAAGGTTTAGACAAACAATCCAAAGTTAGCATTTACATGATTAAAGATATCAGGTTGTAAGAAAACACACTCCAGGTTTCTGCATTTAATAATAATATATTTTATTATGAACTAATAATCTTTAACAAATGGCAATTAGAAAATATGCATTGTTAATTTATAACTCTACAACTTAAACTCTACAACTGAAATAACCCCCTCGCAAACAGACAAAAACATAAAGACATGAATCCGAAGGATGGAAAAAGAAACAAAATCAGGGAAACACAGATTGACATCTCCAGTCTGGACCATAGGATTTGATGAATCATTTTAGTTCTCTTCAATTCAATTCTTGTTTAGTCCTTTGCTATTGACACAAGATGATTTGCACATCGATGCTTGCTTTTATTCCTTGGTTGAGAATCTCTCCTTTTTCTGTCTATAAAGCCGTTATATTCCTCTTTCAATAGGGGATTTACAAAGAAAAGTGAATGGAAGGCAGCTAGCTGGAGACTGGCTGGTACCTCCACAAGAGTGAGAGAGAGAAACAAAGAAACTGTACTGTTGATGCTGTCTCTTTGCAGGCTCGGTAGTTCTCTGTTGCACTGTTCCACACAAATCCTAGTTGGCTGCTCAGGAACCAACCAGAACATTGTTGTCAAGCAGTTTTTCCTTAGTTCAGAATCTATTGGCCGTGTGGTACCTGCTTCTGCCTCTCACTGTTCTCGGGAAAAAAACATACCATTGTATATAATTCACAATGTGCTCCAATAAACATTACTTTTTTTAGAAAAAGCAGCAACCATCTCTTTGCACAGTGTCCTTGGTCCAAAGCCATATCTTCCTTTTTTTAGTCCACAGGCCAAACCTAGAGGCAATATTAAATATGATCTTTACATGCCTGCACCCTGAGGAAAGATGAAACGCCAATTTGGAAAATGTGTTACATAACAAGGTATGTGGCACACAGATGACAAGAAAATGAGGCTTGTATCCACTCATCTTTACTACTGGTGGCAATTTTTGGCTCACAGTTTGGAAGTTTTTTTTTCCAAGAGGATAAATTGAAGCCCAGGGTCAAGGGCTTAGCACAAAGAGTGACATCACAGGTAAACCGATGGTTAAATGGTAAGTAATAGCTAGAAATTTGAGTATCTGTTCTAGGTTACTTTCAGATTGAAGGTAAATAGTGGAAATATTTACAAATTGCAAACTAAAAGACCAGTGCGCAATTTTTAAAACTCAAGTTATAGCGAAGCAATTGAATAAAGATGCCAGCCCAGGCAATGTGCTATACCCTCATGATGTGGGAGCTGGTGGATCCCATTGTGGTTCGTAATGACCACACCTACAGCAAGTGTTGGTTGCTTGAGGAACTTAGGCTTGGAGTTGATGAGCTGCAGTCTGAGCTTCAAACACTGTGACACATCAGGACGGAGGAGAGTTACCTGGATTCTTTGCTTCAGAAGGCAGACACAGCCCTTGGATTAACTTCCTTGAATTCAGTCAGTGGTCAGGGACGGGAGGGTGTGTGACTATAATTGAGACAGGTAGAGGTATCCGGAAGTAGTGCTGATGGAACTTCAGCAGTTGAGCTTGACTAACAGGTTTGAGATTCTTGCTTCCTGTGTGGATGAGAGTGGGGGCTGTAGGATGAACAAACTGACCATAGTACCGTGGTACATTCAAAAGGGGGAAGAAAAGAGATTTTTTTTTTCCTTTATTTGTTCACAGCATGAGGGCATCACTGGCTAGGCAACATTTATTGCCCATCCCTAATATCCAGAGGGCAGTTAAGAGTCAACCACATTGCTGTGGGTCAGGAGTCACATGTAGGCCAGACCAGGTAAGAATGGCAGTTTCTTTCCCTAAAGGTCATTAGTGAACCAGATGGGTTTTTTCCTAACAATCAAAATGGACTCATGGCCATCATTAGATTCTTAATTCCAGATATTTATTGAATTCAAATTTGGCAGGATTTGAACTCGGGTCCCCAGAGCATTATCTGGGTCTGTGAAATAACAGTCCAGTGATAATATCACTAAGCCATTGCTGTAATTTGTTGTAATAGCCAAGGGATTAGACACTGCTCTCCATGACCATGACGAAGAGTCCCGAAGACTGTGTTGAGTGCCCATTGTCCAGATTCAGGTCATCTATCAGAGGAACTTGGAGAGGGAGGGCAGAGATCGAGTTGTCTTGGTCTATGTGGGGATCAATGATATTGGTAAAAAGCGGAAAGAGTTCTGCTGACAGAATATGAACAGCTTTGGACCTAAATTATAAAACAGAACCAAAAAGATGATAATCTCCTGATTACTACCTGAGCCATGAGCAAATTGGCACAGGGTTAACAAGAATAAAGAGGTACATGTGTGGCTCAAAGATTGGTGTGGAAGAAACGGGTTTAAATTCATGGGACATGAGCATCTGTACTGGGGAAGGAGGGAGTTTTTTTGATAGGATGGACTCCACCTGAATCATGCTGGGACCAGAGTCCTGGCAAATCGTGTTACTAGGGCTGTGGATAGGGCTTTAAACAAAATAATGTGGGGGTGGGTTCAGTGGCATGGAGAATTGTGAAACAAGTAAAAGTGAGGAGAGGGCTCAACAGAGGTTATTAAAGTTTCTAGAACAAGAGAAAGGACAGAGAGTATGGAAAGGGTCAGGTTTCTAACTTTGGGCGCAGCAGATAAGGGGACAAATATGAGAACGGCAGGCAGTCAGCACATGACAGACAGTGTTGCATTTAAATGCATGCAGTGTACACAACAAGGTAAACAAGCCTGTAGAGCAAATTGAAATTGGCAGGTACAATTTTGTGAGTTTACAGAGACAAAGCTGCCAGGGGATCAGGGTTGGGAAGAAAATATCCAAGGGTGCACATCATATCGAAAGGAAAGGCAGATGGGCAGAGGGGCTGTGGGGTTGTCTTGTTAGTAAGAAATAAAACTAAATTGAGAAGTCATGTACAGTTAGAAGGCATAGAGTCTGTGTGGGTAGAGTTGAGGAATCACAAAGGGTAAAAAGACCCTGATGGGAGTTAATGTACAGACCTCCTAGCAGGAGTCTGGATGTGGAGAAGAAAATAATTCTAGAGATAAAAAAGGCATGTAAGAAAGGCTGTATTACAATAATCATGGGGGATTTTAATACACAGGTGGACTGAGAAAATCAGATTAGTAGCAGATCTCAAGATGTAAATTGTTGACAAGATGATTTTTTGGACTAGCTTGTGGTAGACCCCACTAGGGAACAGTCAATTCTGGATTTGATGAGAGTAATGAGAAAGACTTGATAAGGGAATTTTAGTTGACAGAACAACTAGGTGTAGAATTCACCCTGTATTTGGGAGGGAAATCTTGAATCAGGTATAAGATTATTTCAATTGAGTAAAGGTAACTACAAAGACATGAGGCAGGGGCTGGCTGGAATTGATTAGAAGGGGAGCTTAGCAGGGAAGATGGTGGAGCAGCAATGGCAGGAGTTTCTGGGGGTAATTCAGGAGGCACAGAGTGACTGTGTGCCATGTAAGTGGATCAGAGATGTGCCATGAGAGTTCTTAGAGACTGGAACATATCAGATGCCAATGTCCATCGACATGTTGCATATGGCTGGTACTCGTGGAGCATACCCTGAGATGTTGGTACCCAGTGTCCAACATGGAGGTCCCTCAGAGAAAATGGTGAGAAGAAATCGCCAGCTACCCACTCTGCATTCCAATGCAAGTTTTCTTGACACCTAGTCTGTTGGGTGAGTTTAATCAGGTTGGAAGCTGAATATTAATGAGGAAATTTGAGTTGCCAACAAGGCCTTTGACATGTATTAATCCACATCAATTAGCAATTCACCATTGGTCAACAGGAATTTTGCCACACTGCTTGCAAAAAGCAGAATAGGTAACATGAGATGATCTCAACTTTGAGATAGGCTTTGCAAGACATCTCATTCGATGCTGCTGCACTTCTCACCACAGCCCATGTTGCTCAGACCCTGAAAAAAATCTGCCAATTATCTTCCCTTTTGACAAAAACCTTTCATATCGCTCATCTACTCTGTTCATCTCATCTGTATTCAATAGCAGTTTCTAATTCCAGTTTCCTGATTGTAGTTAAAACTACAATTTGATGCATAGTATTTTCTCTTGGAATTCTCTTTTTTTAACTCATTCTTATGAAACCTAAAAATTCCCATGGGTTTCTTTTGCAGCTTCCAGCATTCTGAATTAAACACTACCCGTTCTATTACAATGGAGCTTAGACTTTCAATTCTCACTTCCACTCTTAGGAATTACCTTGCTGTTCTGAGGAGACAATCCCAGTTGTCCTTATTCAACTCTGGCTACTTGTTTCCCTTTCATTCCACTATCTTTTTCCCTTTTCCAGTGCATGAATTTGACAAAGGAAAGATCTATTTCTT